AGAGAGAGAGAGAGAGAGAGAGAGAGAGAGAGAGAGAGAGAGAGAGAGAGAGAGAGAGAAACTACTCATGAATAAGCAAAAGATAGAAGTGACAAAATAATTCTCCTTGCCCAACTGTTCCACTCCTTGAAATTGACAAGAGAGATAAAGCAGCTTTAATGGAACAAAGGCTTCAGGAGTTTTGGTTGGCAACAAACCAACAGATCTAAATAGGCAGTTCAAAATGAGAAGGTATGATCACGCATGCCTTGGTCACCTCACAGGGTGGTTACTACAATGCACTTCTCGCAAAAGTCTCTCCCTCTCCCTTTTTCTTTCTCTCTCTCCCTCTCTTTCTCCCTCTCCCTCTGGAAAGAGAGAGAACACTTTCATTTCAGACAGTGTCTACTGAATGGACTCCAACAGAAGTTTCACACATCTACTGCAGCATAGGACACTTCTTAATCTATATGCATGTTTTATGCAATGAATTATATAAATTCCAACTCTTCCAGTATGCCAGAACATAAATTAGGTAAATTAGTCACTTATTTATGATTTCTCTTTAATGTCCAAGGTTATCTTGAACCACCAGCGTACTTAGGAATTAATTTTCATATCTCACTTAAAGTTAATCTTTTCATGCCTCATCAATAAACACACTAATGCAATTAAGCAGTAACAGGAAGAGTGGTATCTGTGCAGACTTAGCTAATAAACAGCTAAATTAATATGAATTGCTATGACTCCAGTTACCTTTTGAAGGCCTAATTGTATCTGTGTCTTCACGCTATTCCTCACTAGCATGAAACCAGGCACTATAATATAAATATGAAATTCACTTGATTTGAAAATCTACTGGGACTAAATCTAGGTTTAAACTAGATTGACTTTCATTTTTGGAGACTTGCATCCTGCTTTTAATGCAATATGTACAATCAATATTGCCCTATATTGTACATATTGCATTAAAAGCAGGATGCAGAAGACCACAACCATACCTCACCAGTGACAAAACTAAAAATCTCTAACTGCTTTTCAATTTACTTAAGGGACGTTAACATGAGATGCTGTGATTCATTCTAGATGCATGTAGATACCTAGGAGCTGAAAAGTGCATGGCCACACATTCTGAATATTTAGTCTCTAGAATGCTATCTTGAGTTTCCTTCTATAATATTATTCTCTTCCTCCTTTATGTGTGCTAGGAATATTAATCCTACCCTATCATTTTAGATAAGGCTAAATCAAATATGACAGATTTCATCATTCTGCCTGTCCATCTATCCACTCTCATTTAAATTTCATCAGGAACATTGTAGCACCGGGAGTTGAGATGGAAACAGAGCATTCCACAAACCACGCTAAGAAACAAACTCAGTGTTTTAGCTGAATACTTCTGTTTCCCATGTTTTCTCAATCAAGCATTTATGTATTTTATCATTCATCTGTAGCAACTTCCTCGAACAACTTGTACCATACTTCTTAAACAGAGGATTTAATCTACTGAAACTTAACATTTTAGATTATTCCAATCTGCAGTGCTCATTACTTTATGTTACTATAATTACTGTAATTAAAGGGCTATCTAGTGCTCAAGTCCAGTTTAGAGCTAATGGACAACAAAAAACAGTAAGAGCTTTGGAATTGCTAATTACCAAGAAAACTGAGTAGGCAAGCCAATTGCCTGTTGTCAAGTTTTGAGGGGTTGTGTTGAATTTCTACTTAAATTGCAGTTATTATTTCTAAGCATTATCAGACAACAGCATCTGAGTGATCTTGTCTGGGCTCAGATACTAAGCAGAGTTTTATATAGTTAATATAGAACACTACCAGGAAATCCAGAACTGTAGGTCATAGGCTAGACTTGAAAGTTTGGCAGGGGGGGGGAGCCATTGGAAAAATACACTTGTCCCCCTAAAAATGATCAGGACCCAAAAGCATTTTGATCTGTTCATATTCTTTACCAGTCTATGTCTCTGTATTTAAAATAGCATATAGAAAATATATATGAATGTTTGTTTCCACACAAAAATCAATACACCATGGCTGGCATTACTTAACCAACTGATTTCTAAATTCTCCCAAAGTTTTTTTTCTAACAAAATTTATTGAAAGGGAATGGGGAACTTTTACAGAAATCCCACAATTATCTCTAATGTTATTGATGCAGAGACTTTTTCAGTCTTTTACTCATGGTCTCTGTCAATGTGGCCTGAGTGTGAATCTCTCCCAAGCTTTCAGTTCAGAAAGCTGAAACTGAAACTTTCTTGTGGAAATTGAGACCAACACAACTCTCATAGTCCTGGGAAATAAAATAAAATAATAGAATAGAATAGAATCCTGGAAGTCAGGGACTTCTAAAATTATTTCAATAGTATTGTCAAGAAGAACAGATAGCCATGTGAATGTTGTCACCATTGAATCAAATACATCTTTATGTGAAAGCTTAAATACAGGTATATCAACTCAGTGACATGGCCTTTTCTTAACAGTTTTGGTTCAGTTGAAGTAAACATACCTTGTTGCTGAGAATCCTTCAGTCCAAGTCCTAAACCTAGTCCAAGGGCTACAGCGACCAAAGAAATGAAAAGAACCTATTAAACAAGAAGAATAAATTTAAAATACATCATGTTGTAATGTTTTCAACAAGAAAATCAACAAAAAAACAATACATGTTCAACGTCAAGGTCCTTAGAATTAAAAGGAGATATTTTTCAAAGCAAGGACCTGCTTACCTCACTAGATTCTTCTTAGTGTATCAATGATTTATCAAAAAAAGGTGTTGGGATGTTTTTAGAATCCCATGATATAAAGAAAAGTGAGAGTAAATTACCAGTGCAATTAAAATAATTACAAACTAAGATAATCCAAGGTTTTGCTTTTATCTCATTTTATAATGGAAGTTTAACTAAACTTTAGTCTGGATTCAGGCTTAATAAGGAATTGTGGTTTGTTTAAAAAGCGTACAGATAATTCCACATCTTTTCTATAACTCTACAGCAAAATATCTTAAAATATTTTTAAGATATACTGTATCTTAAAAGAAAAATATCTTATAAGAACACAAAGCAGGAACTAAAAAATGATTGTCCATGCATGTTACAATGGAATATAATTTCTCATGTCTGAACTAAATCAGTTAGCCCAGGGGTCAGCAAACTGTGGCTCTGGAGCCACATGTGGCTCTTTCCTCCCTCTGCTGCAGCTCCATCACTGGTCGGCACCCAATTTTGAGAGGAGCCTTCGGGGGTGGGGCAGAGAGAAGCACAGGGTGCCAGGAGAAGACACTATGGCAAGGGGAGGGTTTTCCAGTTGTCTCCACAATTGATAGGGCTTTCGGTTATGACAGGTAGAGAAAAAAGTACGCCACCCTAAGAGACTCTATGGTGGGGGAACTGAACTTATGGACAGCTCCATAATTGAACAGGGGGCTTCTGGTTAGAACCTTTGTGGCTCCTGATATTTTCTTTTCTGTGGGAAACGTGTCCAAATGGCTCTTTGAGCGTTTAAGTTTGCCGACCCCTGAATTAGAGGGTTTAAAAAAAAAATCTACTTGTTGAAATGTACTATTTCAACTAGCAGATAGACATTATGTTTCTATTTTAAGTGAACAGAGTTATATACTACCGGAACCAGGAAATTCTACATGTGACCTCTCTCCAATGGTATAAATATTTGCTGTATCTACTTAAGTTTAAACACGTAGTATTTCCTCTCCCTATGCAAATTAAAAATAGTTCTTATTTGCTACATAAAGAAGAGATGTAGCTATGAGTGACAAGTATTGTTTCAAGTGAACTGTGAGGTAAATCATGATGTCATTCAAAATCTGTTAAAGAACAATGGATAAGATATACAAAAACGACAATAAACTGCCAGTCTGTGAACTGGATCAGAGAAATGAACACCTATTCTGAAATGCCAAAAATGACAGCTAATTCATTAGGATGAAGTTGGGAGTAATTCAACTGACAATCCACTTATGCTCAGTCTGTATATTACAAAATACCAGAAATCTTTAGAAACATAAGAGACTTCCTTTCCCATAATAAGGAAGCCAGTCTTGGATAAACTTTCCCCAGAAATACCTTACTTTTCATATATTCTAGATTACAACTCCCATCATTTCAGCAGGGACCATGCTGGCTAAGGAGGGAATATCAATTCATCTATTTTTTCTTGATTTTAATTTGATTGTTCTTTTTGGTTTGAATACAATTTTACAATTTGTACAATAATATAACTAGTCAATCCATGATCCATTAAGTCATCCTTTTTTACACATAAAAGCTACTCTTGTTTCCCCTCTCCTCATGATCCTCAATAGAGCCCTGGTGCACCTCCTTCTCCTCCTCCTCTTCCTCCTCCTCCTCTTCACATAACTGCCTGCCACATTGCTGGCAAAAGGGAGAACAAAGGGAGACATATACCATGAGAACAACTGTACCCCTGCCCCCCACTCTGGTGTGTCCCCAAGAACCTCCTCCCCCCCAGAGAAGAAGAGGGTTCACCTGTCAATTGCTGATACCCCCACCCAGCCAGCCCTAACTCACCAGCAGATATCCAAATTATTTGGATGTAAACCCAGTTGTGATTACACTTAGTGATCATTTCACTTTATGACCAAGTTGCCAGTCCCAATCGAAAGATTACTGTAATTCTCTGCTTTTTCTCAAAGGAAAAATCGGGAATATTTCAAAAATCACTGCTAAAATATTGGATGAGATTGATGGTGGGGCTTCTACTCTATTATTAGAAGTCATATCAGAAAAAGATCAGCTACTGTTGGCTGATTCTGATGAATATTAGACTGTGATGCATACATGTGTACGATCAACAAAGCAGGGGGATAGTTTCCTGCATATATAATACAGTTCAAGTGATCATGCTTGAACTGTATTATGACAATGCCATTCCTAGCATCTTTACTTGAAAGTAAACCATTTAAACATGAACTTCCTTTTGAGGAAACTCATTTCAGATTCTGGTACAGCTGTGATACGTTCCAATGAAATCCCTCTAAAATCAATTCAGCCTTCCAATTAAATTATTTAGAATTGCAGTAACAATCCAAAGTTTATGAGATCAGATTATTTTATTTAGACACTGTCCAAATATTGGTTATTGTTCTTGGTTTGTAATTCAAGGATGTAAATGTTTTTTTAGATAAGGCTTTGTAAATACACACACAGAGAGATGACGGGAGAGAATTTCTTTCACAATTATTGAGTAACCTGCTATCTAGAACAAAAGAAGCAGGAACAGATTGACCCAGCATACTTCACTGCACTGCACTGCACTGCACTGCACTCTGAGCCGTAGAGGACAGAGGTAACCAGGAAAGAGAGCTGTTACTGTTACAACAGAAAGAATGAAGTTTTATAGTAGCATAAAAGCCAAATCAAGACTACATCATATCCATAGATTATAGCATTGCTGTCCAATAAGAATAAGAGCTATATTCAGTCAATTGAAGTGAGGTGGGGAACATATACTGTATACAGATTTAATGCAAGGAGGAAATTGTAAACATTGGTCAAATATTTTTTTTTCACTGTCTTGTGCAGTCATCATCTTTAAAAACACCGAGAGCACTTCTATTTTCACTGAAAACCAAGCAGTAAAAATGTTCTTATGAGTAATAAGATGTATTAAGAGTAATAAATCCAAATTTTAAAAAATAGAAAAACAAAAACAAAATGTCTTTAGCAATATTGTATTTGTCAATTAGGTCACTGGGGAAAATATGGCGTGACATATTCATCAAATTACACAAGACTATGTGCAAGTCCCAAACTTCACTACTAGGGAAATATGTTTCCTAATTATTCCCAACAGTAATTGAGAGGTCATAGCAAATTTCCACTAATGAATAGATCCTATAAGTAAAAAGCATGAATTTCTCCAAAACATTTGGAATAATTTTAGGTGGCTTTAATTTTTCAATGGGTTCCTAATTCACTTTTGGACGAGTACTTCAGAACTTTAGCATGGTCAGAATCCAAATCTTTGGCCCCAATATCCTATCCTGGTATCTATGCCTTACCTTCTGCAGACTCATCTCTCCACTCTGTTTTCTGATGCTCCCAAAAAGGTTCCTTGGATATTCTTGACTAAGCAATAGAAGGGGACAACAATGAACAATCTTTTCCTTTAACCAAACAGGGAGGTATTAGCCCAGTCACAAGGGACTGCTGGAAGTGGCAATAGTGATGACTGTGCTTTTTTTTCACTATGTACAAGCTGTACCTTGCCTAAATGCCAATTTCAGCTGAGAATCTACATATGCACTTCATAAGGCATAAATCCTAATCAATGAACTAACTAAGCTCCTAAGTAGAATTGATCTTTTCCTTGTCACCCCCTGCCTAAAGACAGAGGCATGTTATCAAATATTCTCCTCCTGGACCAGAATAATATACTTTAACAAAATTCCAGAGAAATCAACACAAGATAAACTTCATTTATTTGTTTGTTTCAATTGATTGATGATTGAATTGAATTTATTTTTCTGCTTGTCTGAATCTTGTGACTTTGGGCAGCTCAGAGTGCAAAACATGAAAAGAAGAAATTATAAAGTAACATTATAGTACAGTAAATCCAATGTCACTAAAAATTATATTCAATCAAACCATACACTTTTATTCCCTGTCTTTATTGTACCTACTGTTTTTATTGTTATAGTGGGGTGTGTATGTTAGTATGGTTGTTTGGTGCATATGAGGGGATTGAGAGTGCGGCCTAGGGCCCCCTTCGCTGAGTGCAGAAGCAGAAGTGGATGGGGGCCCTAAACCACCTCTCATCCCGGAGTGTTTGGGGTGAATGGCCTGCCAAGTAATGTGGGGGCCATGGGTTGGGGAGAGGGGTCTACAGATAGGGGGACAAACCGGAGCATCCTGGTTACGTTTGGGAGAGGCAGGTATGACGGAAGCTTCAGGGCTGGCCATTACCGGGGAAGGAGGGTTCGCTACGTCACAGCGATCCCTCGTTCCAGCCCCGATAGCTCATCTCAAAGACCATGTGGCAAGGGTGATCAGGGCCCTGGCCTCAGGTTGTTTGTTGCTAAATGCCAGATCTGTGATTCACAAAGCTCCCCTCGTCTGGGACCTGATATTAGATGAGGGGGCAGATCTGGCATGTATTACTGAAACCTGGTTGGGCCATGAGGGAGGAGTCCCCCTCTCTGAAATGTACCCTGAAGGGTTTCAGGTGCTCCACCAACCGCGACACCAGAAAAGGGGTGGAGGAGTGGCTGCTATCATCCTAAGGTCACTAGCTCCTCGTGGGATCCCTG